AAAATAATGCATACAAAATCTAAGAAATGAAGGTGTAAATTGCATGGTAATTATGTATGCATATTCTTTTTCCTTTCTCTCTGTTTATTTAGTGTTTTTTTTTTCTCTCTCTCTTTTGCCCCCCTTTTGGAAGTATGATGCTATATTTAGTAATATTTCCTCTGACGTGGTATTACTCTTGAAGGAAAATATATGTGTGTTTGTTTGGTTGTGTTAGTGTTTGTGTTTGTTTGTTTGTTTGTATGTTTGTGATTGTTTGTTTGTATGTGTGTGTGTGTTTGCTTGTTTGTGTTTGTGATGGTTTGTTTCTTTGTATGTTTGTTTGTGCGTGAGTGTGTTTATGATTGTTTGTTTGTATGTGTTTGTACGTTTAGATATCCTTAACACTAATGGTAATAATCTACACAATATCTTTCTCATAACCGAAGAGATCAAAATCTGCCTCGTAAATGTTGGCAATCGCTTCCAACAGTTCCGCGGGAACCATCTCGAAGTACTTGGCATCGGACACGTTCAGGTCTTCAGAAATCCCTCTTATCCTGTGCTCTGTCGTGAGCTGAACATCCTGCGGGTATCCTACATCTCGGAGAAGGGCCTTGGCTTCCTCTGACACCGTTTCCAAATGAAGGATATAGTCATAATTCTCCCGGCAAGGAAAGCATATGTCTACGTAAGGCGTCCAGTGCACGTCTAAGACTCCATGGTCCTTCTCCCAGACGATGAAGCGAAGGAAATCCTCGAAGGAGAAGGTGGCGTTGGCATAGATATCCCGCAGGTCCTTGTCCACGTGCCCATAAGCCTCCCTTGCGGCATGCTCCAACCCCACTTGCCTCCCGTTCGTGACCATGTGGGTTCCGACGTGGTAGGTGGAGGCATCGAAGCCCGAAGCGCCGGCTCCGGGTAACAACAGGGCAGCGCCTTCTTTGCGGTAGTGTCGGCTGATGAACCTGAAGGCCAAATCGTACCTTTTAAGCATGCTGGAGAACAAGGGCGTAGGTTCCAGGCGGCCGGACGAAATAAGGGCTGGGAGCCAGTAGTGGTACCACCTGAACTCCCAGGTGGTGACGCTACTTGTGCGGGCTTGCCAGGTGCTGTCGTATGCGCTGATCGGGGCGCCGTTCAGGTACTTGTCCCTTGGGAAACAGAGATTACAAATTAGTAAGTAGAATAGTAATGGTCGCCATGGTTAGGGTGATAATAACCATGATAAAAAAGAGGGATTAAATGAAAATAACTGTAATAGTAATGCTAAAAATACAATAATAAGAGTGATGATCATATTCCTGATCTGAATACCTGTTGTTACAGATACTATTGCCCTTGCAATGATGGTAATGATAACAAAACTATAACATTGGTAATATAATGATAATAACTATAATAATGATAATGGCGATAATGATAATAACAATTGTTTTCGTTATTATCATCATCATCATCATTGGGAGCTAACGCCGGCGGGGGCGCATATCTGCATCCACCTTTCGTTTCCACCTACGAGGGTCCCTCATGGCGAGCCGTCAGGCAAGGGCCCGTCCCATCTCTGGCTCTTCACGACAGGTTTGATCGATCTGCCTAAGCCACGACTTCCTAGGTCGTCCCACAGGCCTCCTCTGCCAAGGGTTGCCTCAAACAGAGACAACCTGGTGGGCAGAATCATCTTGTGGGAAACGAGCCAGGTGGTCGTATAGCCTGCGATCGCGGATTGTGCAGATAACAGATCCTGTACCAGTCTACGGTGCAGCTGTTGGTTGGAAACATGATCCGGCGCAAGGACCTGTTACAAAAGACATCAGCACGAGATTCCAAAACACAAGATAGCGTCCAGGTTTCACTACTGTGTCATAAAACTGGCAGCATCAGGGCCTTGAAGACACGTAGCTTGGTCCTTCTGCACAGGTACCGGCATCTCCACATACTCTTGTCGAGAGATTTCATGACCCTTGCTGCCAGGCCAATGCATCTACTGACTTCCTGGTCTGACAGCCCAGAGTCATGAACTGCACTACCGAGGTATATAAAGCTCTCTCTGTGACCTCGATGTTCTCACCTCAAACACATACCGACTGAACAGGATCTCCAAACAAACCCCAAAACTCCATCTCATTATCACCATCATCATCATTATCATCACCATCATCATCATCATCACCATCATCATCATCATCATCCCCATCATCATCATCATCATCCCCATCATCATCACCATCATCATCATCCCCATCATCATCACCATCATCATCATCATCATCATCATCCCCATCATCCCCATCACCATCATCATCATCACCATCATCATCATCATCATCATCCCCATCATCATCATCATCATCACCATCATCATCATCATCCCCATCACCATCATCATCATCACCATCATCATCATCCCCATCATCATCACCATCATCATCATCATCATCATCATCCCCATCATCCCCATCACCATCATCATCATCACCATCACCATCACCATCATCATCATCACCATCATCATCATCAT